TTTTTTTTTTTTTTTTTTTTTTTTTTTTTTTTTTTTTTTTTTTTGGAGACAGGGTTTCTCTGTGTAGCTTTGGAGCCGTCCTGGAAATTGGCTGGCCTTGAACACACAGAGATCTGCCTGCCTTTGCCTCCCAAGTGCTCGGATTAAAGGCTCGTGCCACCACTGCCCAGGGTTATTTTTCTAAACACGGATTTTAGATATTTGTCAATTTTTTGGGGGGTGGGTAGTGGTGGCATATGCCTAAATGGCTCTTTCTACCCCCTTCCCCCCAGGGTTTTTCTCTGTAACAGTCCTGGTTACATAGGAACTTACTTTGTAGACTAGGCTGGCCTTGAACTCAGAAATCCGCCTGCCTCTGCCTTTTGAGTGCTGGAATTAGAGGCATGGACCACTACCAGTGGGTTAAATGGCTCTTCTTAAAGCAACCGTCTTTATTTAAAAACTCATATTAATGCCTAAGAAGCAAATGAAGACATATCCACTGATTTTGTGTCTCTGTGTCATTCTATCTATGGCCTGCCTAAATGGGAACAGCTAACTTCTTTATCCGACTCATGAGCGCTACTCTGAACGATGATGTACATTTCAAACCTACTTCACTTAAAGGATGCTTTTCTCCATTGCTAATTTGTCTTTCATTTATACACAAGTCAAACCAAAGGTCACCGGCAAACAGTAAATAGAAGCACACAGAGCTCTCTCTATCCTTGTGAACTTCAACCTCAAGATCTAACTCTCACAGAAATTCCATTTGCACACAAGAACTGCGTTAAAAGTGTGGTGGTGCAAATGTTTAATCATAGCACTCAGGAGGCAGAGGAAGGAGGATCTCTGAGTCTGAAGTTAGCTTGGGCTACAGAGCAAGTTTCAGATAGCCGGGACTACACAGAAATACTTGTTGTGAAAAAAACAAACAACCACCGAACAAAAAAGTACCTGACTCTCTAGAACCTAACACTATGCTTGCAATATAAGAGGTTCTGAGGACACCTACATTATTTGGTTTCTTAAAAAGGACTTACCAGTGAGAAAGCTTCTCAGTCGTCCAAACTGTACTTCATATTGCTGGGGTTCTGCCTGGCAAGGGGCTGCAGACACTGCATTGGCACAACCAGATTCTGATTGGACTAAAGAGGAAGACACACAAGACAGAGGCAGGAAGGCAGTTACTATCTATACCATGCAGCAGGAAGGACACAGGGCATGGATTCCAATGGCATCTCTAAGTAAGATGTTCTAGGGTCTCGGTAGACTGGGGTAGATTGATAATACTTGTTTGTCTCCCTACTCTCCTGATACTCCATAAAACTAGGGCAGAGGAATAAAAGCTAGAAAGCATAAGATACCTTAAGTGAGGAGAGGACAGGCACACAATATTCCTAAGATTTATCTAGAAATGTCTAACCCATGTTGGCATGTTACAATGTGCTATGGCCTGGGTTCATCAATTTGAGAGGTCACGCTTCCAGTTCAGAGAACAGTCTTTGTTTCTGATCATATCTTCTATTTTTCTGAGATTCCTGATTTCAAAGTTGGATCTTCTGAAAATCATTTAATCTTTTCTCTATATTTCATCCTTTTGCTTTACTAACAGGAAGGTTTCTTTATCTTTCAATCCCCCCATCCCCTCTTTTTTTTCTAGACAGGGTTTCTCTGTGTACTACTGGCCGTCCTGAACTTGCTCTGTAGACCAGGCTAGCCTTAAACTCAGACATCCCCCTGCCTCTGCCTCCTGAGTGTTGGGATTAAAGGTGTGTGCCACCACACCTAGCCTAACTTTCAACCTTTTTGTTGATTTTTCCTTTATTTTTTCCAAAGGAGGAAGCAGTTATTTTTGCTCACAATCCTTTTTATCATTAGCTATCTGGCATTAAAAAAAATATTCTCAAAATGTTCTTTCTCCCAGAGCAGCATTATCTTCTTGTCTTCAAACTATGATATGGACAGCTGTCAAGAGAAACATTTCCCCCAGGGCTTTATGGCCCTGGGTGTGAAAAAGAGCACCATAGGGATAATGGGAATGTAGCTGATCACTTAGGATGGTAGGAATACTTTCCCAAAGAGTGTCTTTGGTCTGCAGTCCTGGGCAGGTCATAATTCATCAAACCGTTATTCACTAGCTTTCCTGGGGAATTAGGTTGGCAGCAGTGTTTTGGGTAGCTGACAGGAAGAGAAGCCTGGGGCCTTAATGTTTAGCATGTAAACATGCACTTTTTGACTTTATACTTTTTTTTTTCTGATAGGGTCTCATTACGTAGCCCCAGCTGACCTGGGAATCTCAATCTTTCTGCTCCTTGTGCTGGAATTATAGGAGTATGCCATCATATTTAAGCCTGAGTTTATGCTTCCTAAAGAAGAAACTCAAGCTTTCTGCACTATCCAGTGTAGAGTCTACACCATTTTCTTCTCGATTCCTATTGTTACTTAAAGGCAAACTTTCACACGATGTCTAGAGTCATTGGTGCTCTATAAATAAAGAAGGTTGCCCTCAAACTCCTTGCAGGAGGTACCCATTTAGGTACCAACCTTGACTTCCAGATGGAAGCTAGGGGCCAAGGGCTAAGCTGTCTTCTTTATATCACATCTAGCCACTATTATGTGGATGGAGGGATGGTAATGAACACAGTAGAACTGAAGAAATCAAAACATGGTGCACAGAAAAGGGTGTGAAGAAGAGTTCCTGCCCTCCAGCAGATGGCTAGAGCAGAGAGGCGCTCTTTCCCCTTCATCAGTCAAAGCCTTTCAGATTCCTGGTTACCCTCTGACTATGCTCATTTTTGGCTAGTATATCTAATTCTAACTTGGACCCTTTAGCAATACTTAGCACCCAGTCACTGTCCTGAAATCTATCTCCGGATCTCACATGTCCTCCTTTAACCTGACATGAGTGTTCCTTATAATTCCTCAGAAAATAGATCATTCCTTCTGCTATTGGCTAATGTGACCATAAGGTAGGGAGTACCAAGCTTTTGGCAAGACCTGCTTGCCCTGCCAACCTAGTGCAAATGATTATTTCCTCTACTTCCTGACCCTAAGGTTCCCTGCCAAAGCTCAGTCACCATGGCCCTTTACAGCTGTACTGCAGCATGGACTCCCAGCAGCTGGAATCTGAGCAAGTTCTAGGGTTGTTACCATCTGGCCTAAAGCACATGTGCAATGAAAGCCTGCAAAGCGAAGACCAATGATTCAGATCATTCATGAATCAGAAAATCCAGGATTCAATAGCACAATCAGCCCACTTCAACTTCTCCATTCCAGCTGGCCTCTTGAAAAGCCACTGCATCTAAACTGCAGAGGTACTTTCTCTTCTTCCCACAAAGGCAGAATTATTGCTCAGGGTTCTTTGCATGTGTAGCAATAGGAGTGCTGAGCACTCCAAAAAATTGTGGCAGTTCCTAAGAGATTGCTCTAAACCTGGTAAGTGGAGGAGTCCACTAGAGACAAGTTGATAACTGCTCACCAGGGTATCCCCGAGGAGCTCAAACAGGGAACAGCCAGGTATCTCTTAAAGGAACATGGAGGTAGACTGCTGACAGTTTCTGATACTCCCCCATGAAGTCAAGGACCTCTTCAGGTTTCAAACATTTCATCACTTTCTCCACAGCAAAGGCAGTCTGCCCTAAAGCAAACCAGGCCACTGAGTGACAGCGCTGTGAAGAGGAATCACGGGGTCTGCTGCTGCTGCTGGGATGGAGCAGGAGCCATCCGTTCAAGGAAAGCACAAGCCCAGGAATAAAGAAGGGAGAAGCTGCCCCTCTGGATATGTGAAGGAAGCCAGAGCTGGGCCACATAAACAATGAGAACTCGGTTATACCAACAGCCATTAGTGTGTCCTTTGCACCTAATTTACAGAAATACATCAAACCACCAGTACTGTACAGAAATTCAGTATAAGAAAACCGGCTAGGCCTAGTGGCATAATACCTGAGGCTGAGACTTGCTGAGAGTTCAAGGACAGTCTGGGCCTTGTGAGAATCCATTTAACAAAAACCAGAGGGAGATGGAAGGACCAAACAAACAAACAAAAAAAACCTGTATACTGTATCATAAACCCTAAACTCATAGGAAAGCTAGGTGACAACCTTTGTGTGTGTATGGTAACAATGACTTGATATTCCCAATGGAGCCACCCTTCCTTCCTTTTTAAAAATTGCCCTATGGCTGTTTAAGACAGCCTCACTCTGTAGCCTAGTCTAGCTTGGATCTCACTCTGTAACCCAAACTGGTCTCAAGCTTATGACAACTCTCCCATTTTGGCCTCCCAAGTGTTGGGATTAAAGGTCTGAGTCATTATGTCTAGTTCTGAAATGTGATTTCAAAATGAAATTTAAAAATTTCAGAAGTGCTTATAACAGTATTTCCAACTGTCAACCCTGCAGAATGCACTTTATAGACTGACTTCTAGGAGCAAAGCTCTATGCTAGCAGAGAGAACCTATTACTCTGGGTCTTGAAGGGTAAAAAGGTTGCACATACCATCAGGTAAAACAATCGTGATGCTCTGAGGAAGGTTCAGAAGTCCACTGAGCACAGTTCTAAAGGACAGGAAAGACCTAGAGGCCAGAGACACTAAGAGTTGCTCACTGAGGCCTGGTAGTCTACCCTTTGCTGAGAACCTATGTGGGCACTGACAGCTCCTGTTCAGGCCAGTCACAGGACCCTGGTACCTGTGAGGTTGGCTGCCATCTCCTCAGGAGTCTGTGATAGTCTTAGGCCTTGCTTCAAGGGGCCTTCTGAGTCCATGTACTGCCGGCGTTTGAGGTAGCAGGACACTGCCACCTGAACCTGCTCCGTGCGCCCTCGTTTCATGACCTGTGGGAAAGGAACACAGGAAGCGGACTGTAAGGGACGGCAGAGCTATCACACAGCTAGAAAGATGGATACTGAAATGACCCAGTGAGGACACAAGCCTGGCATTCTGTTCCATTTCATCTGTTTTTCTTTCTTTCTTTCTTTTTTAAAGATTTATTTATTATGTATACAACATTCTGCCTCCATGTATGCCCACATGCCAGAGGAGGGCGCCAGATCTCATTACAGATGGTTGTGAGCCACCATGTGGTTGCTGGGAATTGAACTCAGGACCTCTGGAAGAGCAGTCAGTGCTCTTAACCATTGAGCCATCTCTCCAGCCCTCATCTGTTTTTCCAAAGGCCATACAGCCAGCCTCATTGATGGGAAACAGAGAAACAGCATGGGTAACATATCCTACAGATTACTCCCAATAACACTGTTATTCAACCAGCTCCATGAACCTTTTCATTGGTGCACCTAGCACCAAGCAGGCAGGCCTAATTTGAATATCAGGCTATTTCTACTGCTCCATCAGAGCTATTCATTAGTAATGAACCTGCTAAAAGCTCTAGAAGGGGGCAGTGTAAGATCAAAGGCCCGAGAAACCAACAGACTGGGTAAGTAGATGCAGACAAGGTAAGAACCTAGTAAGGGAGGTTTTTTTTTTTTTTTTGTTTTGTTTTGTTTTGTTTTGTTTTGTGGCTCCAGGGATGGAACCTAGAGCCTTGCAGAAGTCAGGTGAACACTCGACCATCCAGCTGTATCCCCCGCCCATAGCTTGTTTGCCCCCCCCTTTTTTTTTAAGAATTATTTATTTATTATATATAGTGTTCAGCCTCCATATATGCCTGCAGGCCAGAAGAGGGCACCAGATCTCATTACAGATGACTGTGAGCCACCATGTGGTTGCTGGGAATTGAACTCAGGACCTCCAGAAGAGCAGTCAGTGCTCTTAACCTCTGAGCCATCTCTCCAGCCCCTGCTCCTTCTTTTTTGAGACAGGTTCTTACCATGTAGTGATGGCTGGCCTGTCACTCGATTTGTAGTCCAGCCTGGCCTTAAACTCAGAGATCCACATGCCTCTGCCCTCCAAGTGCTGGGAATAAAGGTGTGTGCAACCATACTCAGCATAAATAAAGTTTCTCGAGATAGGGTTTCTCTGTACAGCCACTGTGGCTGTCCTGGAACACACTTT